CTAAACTCCAAACCCTAACCCTAACCTCCCTGAGAACCAGTCGAACACCCCTTGCTGCAACTCCAAGTCGCTTGGTCCAATGGATCGCCTGTGCAATGCTCTTCTCGGCAGCCTGCCCCAGGACTTCGGGCTCAGGGTTTAGGTTTAGGGTTCAAGGTTTAGGTTTAGGGTTTAGGGTTGAGGGTTTAGGGTTCAGGGTCACAGCATGTGGAGGGGGGGTTCAGGGCTTGGGATGTCTCCGCGAACCTTTTGTCACATCGCCGGGGCTCCGAAAAGCTTACCGCCCAAATGTAATTCCTTTCTTTAAACTCACCATCCTTGGACAAAGTCCCCTGCGCAATCCGAATCCGCAAAAAAACCGCCCCAACGTCCCAGAGCACTAGCCGCAAGGTGCCCAACACGCCTTAAACCCTAAACCCTAAACCCTAAACCCTACACCCTACACCCTAAACCCTAGCCCTAAACCCACAAATGTTAAGCCCTCAAAGACCGCGAGGGTCCTCCATCATGGAGCCCAGGATCAGGCGCTCGGCAATGCCGTAGAGGAGCTCGAGGAAAAAGCCTGCGGACGACAGATCATGTACATATATACACATACATACATGCCTACGTACATACATACATACATTAATTGAATTACAGTGATTGAACATACAAAAACACATACATATATATATATATATATATACGTATACATATACATATGCATATACATATACATATACACATACAGAAACCTATACACATATTATATTGCCTTGTGTTGAGCTATGTTATCGTTTGTATATATATATATATCTACATGTTCATTTATGCAATATCGAGATATATATATATATATATATGCATGTATGTATGTATGGATGTATGCGTGTGTGCATCGTGCATACTCCTATGCCTTGTCTGATATCGACCACATGTCATGTTTGAGGTGATGAACAATTCACCGCACATCGTGACATCTTCACCCGTGATTTCAGGCACTGGCAGTTTCTTGGAAGCCTTCACAGAAGTCCACGAAGTCGTCTGCTCCCAGAGTACCTGAGCATCTGGCTGAAGGTTGGCTATCTTGGGCAGCGAGCGCGAGTAAGCTCGAAGCTTTAAACGGCTTGCACGGCTTAGGTGTACTGACAAAGGGTGCAAGGCCGGGATTCTGTCAACCTTACCCTGAGCAGGTCAGAAGGGTGTAGGGCTTACGCTTGAGAGGGCTTGAAGAAAACCAGATTACATCCCATTAGAGACTTCAGGTCCTTGCTTGCAGGGTTTTGAGGCTTTGGTTGCCAAGGTGCCGATAAACAGCACAACGCTGCAAGCAGTCGACAGCGGTACCTGGATCAGCTCCTCCCGTACGGCCCTGGACAGCGGGTGCTCTGGTAAAGCTTGGGAGTGGACGGTTTCATCAAGGCTTGAGGCTTTTAACGAACATGTTTGGGGTTCGGGATTGCAAACTGATGATGATGCTGAGCTTTATCGTCTTGTCCAGCCAGCGTTCAAAGTAACTCTGCCTGAAGACTCGACTTACGAGGGGCCTGAGGACAGCTCAAGCAACAGGACAAGCCTCTTTTGGAACCCAGGACGGCTCTGCCCTAAACCTAGAAACCCTAGAAGCCCTAAAAGCCCTATAAGCCACAAAAACCCTTTAAATCCCATCAGCCCAAAAAAAAAAACAAACCAGGGTCGACTGGCTGAGGGACCCCAGGTCGGGAAAGGGATCCACAACTCAAAATACCACTAATGTACTGTAGCCGCCTGTAGGGTTTAGGGTTTAGGGTTTAGGGTTTAGGGTTTAGGGTTTAGGGTTTAGGGTTTAGGGTTTAGGGTTTAGGGTTTAGGGTTCAGGGTTTAGGGTTCAGGGTTTAGGGTTTAAGGCTAAAGGCTTTTGGGAGCAGGCTTGGGGCTGCTTTGAATCTAAACGCCTTATAAGCCTGTAGGTTTAGGTGTTCAAGCACTACTAGGATGGGCTATTAGGCCTTAAAATCCCCCCCCATAATGAACCCTATAAAGGGCCAGGGTATAATAGCCCATCCTGGTAATCATGGCCTTGCTAGGGGTTCGGCTGTCCAGGGGCTTCCGCGTTTTCAGGGCTCTATGTAGCACGAGCAGGTTCCTCTCAAGTTAGACCCAGGAGTAACCTAGGAATAGCAGGGTACCCTTTTTGGTTTTTACGGGGATGATAAAGGAACCCCAACCCCCAAAAAAGGAAATAAGGGCCTACTCCGGGTCCTAGAATGCAAAGGCCTAGACAAAGAGTTGTCCACGAAGTTCATGGCGAAGCTGAAGCCGATGATGAAGTACAGCGCGTTCCTGGGCGAAAGTGCTGCAACTCGATGGCACGTCATGATTCTGCCTGGTGTGTTTGGCAGGCTTGCAGACTGTTAAAAATAAAAATCAATAATCCCTATTTTACCCTTATAAGGAAGAATGGGTTTTGTTTTTTGGGGGGTTCTTAAGGAATTTGTAGTCTTACTGGATATCTGAAATTGAGGTTCAGACACGATGGTTGACGGGTCGAGGGTGGATGCGGTCACTGCAATAGGATTGAAGAACTGACGCATGCAACCGGCACAACCTTGGCCAAGCAACTCTCCGAAGAAGTCGCAGTACGTGAACTCCCACAGTAGAATCAAAGGGAAGATCAGGAAGATGCCTGTGGGACAGGGCTTGGCAGGTAAAAGGCCGCCTATTGGGCCCCATGCTTGCTGGACCGGTAGCACGGACGTTAGGACCGCAAGATGCCGTAAGGGCATGCTTGCGCTCCCACACGGATGCAGTGGGGACCCATACGAGACCTAAACCCTTATCGGTTGGGTAAAGTTTAAGCATAAGGGTGTTGAAGACAACTCCCAGATTTGGCGCCCATCCCCAGACAAAGCCAAGACACTCACGAAGATCAAGTGGGCTCGCTTCCATCGGATTGGCACCGTCCTGCAGGGAGACCAAGGAGGTCGGAGTCCCGCCAAGCCACGTTTCAAGCCAAGCCCGAGATCAAGCTTTGCCAAGCTGTGGAGGTTCAGATCCAAAGAACATTGAAGGATCAGGATTGTTGACACCTGTGGCTCCTTCGCTCCTCTTTGAATCATTGGCTACAGAACCCTTTGTCGAGCATAGCTTCGCGACTCGGGGGCCAAACCCAGAACTCAACACTGTTTTCGTGGGTGAAGAGCTTCAACTCTAAAAACTCCTAAGCTCCTAAACTTATGGAATCTAAACTCTTTACCTAGAAATTCCTAGAAACTCTTCATGCAAAAGACGAAGAAAGCCTTAGAAAAGCCGCTGTGCCCCGAACACGAAGCTCCAGAAGTGCCCCTCTAACGACCCCTATCAGCACGCACACCCTAACCGCTTTTGTGCCAGGGCTCTCTCTCAAGTGCCTGGTATAAAACACCCTAAACCTAAGCCCTAAACTCCCAACCCTGAACATTGTTCAGCCCGCGCTATGCATCTACCTGAGACGGGAATGCGACTGCACCATCGCTCCACGACAGCACCCAATCACATGAACTCTAAACCCTAAACCCTAAACCCTAAACCCTAAACCCTAAATCCCACGCGCACGCACTCAAGGCCGAGCCCTCCTGATCTGCTGCCGCTGCTCCGCGCGCAGCGTGAGGCCCTCTCGGCCTAGGCACAGGGAACTTGGAGGCGCATGTTGCCTGTCTTTCTAGGGCTTCGGGTTTTGGGTTTAGGGTTCTTTTTTTCACTCCTGCACAGCTGGGGCGAATCCACATCGCAGGGCAATGACGAGGCGTCTCACGGCATGACTTTAGGGTTTAGGGTTTAGGTTTTAGGGTTGTTTTTGCCTCCCGCCTAGCTGACACTCAGGCCACCTTGCAGGGACTCGTTCCGGAAATGATTGTCCTTGAAGAAAAGAAGAATTCGTGCCTTTAAAGAAAACGCAGAAAAATGTCGGCAATGTTTTAGAGACATCGGAAAAACAGGGTTTAGGGGTTTTTGCACCCGCATAGCTGGACGAACCAATCCGGGTTTAGGGATTGGTCTGGAGGGTTTTAGGGTTTTGGTTTACGTTGTTACACCAGCGGCACCCGTGTCTTTGGAACTTAGGGTCTGGGGTTCAGGGTTCTACTGCTTCGACAACTCTCTTGACACGGACCTCCACTTTGAATCCGCCTACCATGCCCCAGCGCCCGTCGTGACGAGATGGCGTACCAACTTCAAGCAAATGCCACATACGAGGGTCAGTATGGTCAATGGCAAGACTACCGACTGCAGCAAACCACAAACTCTACACCCCTTTGCGCTGCTGCAGTTTTCGACCAGCAATCCCAGGCACACGTACTGCAAAAATGCTTGCAAACTTTCAGGACTTGATGTGAGAAAGCCCAGGGGGGTGGGGGGGGGGGGGGCTTTCAAAAGCTAGCCAAAACAGATCAAAAAACGTTCTCTGGAATCAAGGTTTAATTAAGGCCTTTGGAGGGTAAAGGGAATACAGGGTTTAGGGTTAATTGTAATGCTTATGTAGAGTCTAGAGCATCGATGCACACGTCGTCCCCAGTCTTCGGGGAGCAATGCAGGAAACGCTCCCATTCACCTTTGAAACTTCACAGTTTGCGTACATTCTGTCGGCCATTCAGGAACACCGACTGTACGGCAGACTGCAGTTGATGCGCAACCCTGCTTCTGAGGGCGGCGTGAACCAGCGGCGGGGAAAAACCGCTTCTGGGACAAAGAGTAGCTTAAAGTCGGAGCCCTCAACTCACCAACCGAAAGAGGCACGGCAACAAAAGTCTGAGCCAGTATAGGGTATAACGTTAGAGTAGGTCTACAGCCTGAGTGGCCAAACGGGATGATACCCCAGCAGACAAGCATACATAAATAAATTCAGCAGGCCTTGACGGAAGAGACCCGGGATTATGGGGCTTAAGATTCAGGGTATCGGGCTACGGGCTGAAACTGAAGATGACCTTGAAAAATGCTAGGATACTAGAGCGCCGCTCAGTTGCCAGCTGGTTCAGGTGCGGCTTCTGGGCTCACGGAGGCTTGGAGTTCGCCACAGAATCTCTGCTGGACATGGGCGGCCAAATTGATCGGACCGACGCACAGAAAAGTCAATCCCGTGAGTGAGAGCATGATAACAAAGAAGGCGCAAGTTCCCGGAAACAAGTCGTACCAAGCATTTGAATTTTTCTCCACAAAGTCGAAGTGAGGGCCCCAGCACCAGCTTTCGAAAAACGAGCATCCCACAAACAAAGCGATCATGACCAAGAGAATGAACAAATGTTCGTCAGCACTTCGCCGCACTTCCCACAACGCCTGGTCCGCAGCAGGAAGCAAAGCTTCGCCGCCAGGCAGAAAAGCATCGGCAAAACGCCAAATGCCCAGGCCATTCCGCGGATCAGTCTCCTGAAAACCGAATCCCAAAAATACGGGTCAACTTGCATCTGGCCGCCATGATATTTCCATTGGGCATCGCACATGGAGGCGACGGTATCCCAGGTGGACCAAAGCATTGGCAGAGATGCTGCCGCACATTGCTTGTATGTAAAGACCTGCGACGACAGCTGGTCAACGAGACAATCCAAAACTGTCACACTTGCGCTTCGAAGTTCTCAAAGCTGCCGAACCATGCTCTGATGTAGCGGTAGACGACCTTCCGATCGCAAACGATGTTGCCGTGGTTGTCTAGACTGCAACACCAGCACATGGTATCTTCAATGTTAAACTGAGACAACTTCGTCTGCAACTCCTGCACCGATCTGTAGTATGCACGCATTGCAGCCACAGACGCGTAGAAGCCCACGAAAGCCAACGCCGCCATCAGCAGCCAAGGCCAGGCCAAACTTTCTGTCGGGGCGATACCTTGCTGGTGCATGCGAATTCATCCCGCTAGTAGTTTCCCCAAGCCGCCTGCAACTGTCCTTATATGGCCCTATAAAGCATTCTTTTCATACAAAAAGCCCTGTAAAAACATGAAAAGCGCCCTAGAAGGGTTACTCGATTCACCCCCCGACTCCCCCATAAGTACCAGCAAGTAGCAACGAAGGACAGGCCGGCCGGCAAGGAGACGAACACCGGGCCAAGCACAGTGGGCCTCGAACATCAAGTCTGCACATTAACACCTACCTGGGGGCCCTTAAAAGCCAGAGTTGTTAAATAGTACCTAAACTTACTTGCTCCCTCCGTCCTTCCTTCCCGCCTCCCTCTGTCCTTCCTTCCTTTCCCCCCCCCCCCCCCCCCCTAATGGAAGATTTTCCTTTTGATATGTTGCTGAAACTGATTCCTGTTTCATAGACCCAGGTCTTTTTTTTGATTGCTCTTCTGCACTTTGGGGGCATGTTGGGGCCCTTGGGTCGGCCTTGTGATAAGCTTTGCCTTCGTGCCCGCCGGCCGACTGTGCAGAAACGCCGCCAGCTCAAACACGCACCTAGGCTGTTCAGTATTGGGGGACAGCTATATATGTTTTCTGTGTGAGTTTCAATCTTAGGAAACAAGAGAAGCAAGAAACCAAACATGTAAAACGTATACTGAAAGCAACTTCGACTCCAGAGGCGGTGTATGTAAGAGGGGTCCCACAGGACGAACAACGCGTCTGAGCGCTTCAGAAAGGCCCCCATGCTGACTAATGCTTCCGTCTTCAGCTCAGCATTCTCTTGATCTATGCACAGAATATCTAGGAAAATGCGGCTTCCAGGCCGCCAGAACACAAACACCGTGCAGTAGAGCACCAAAGCCGTGAGAAGGCACCAGCCAGGCTCTGCTGGGTAGGGCGGGTCCTCCTGGAATCGAACTTGGGGCAGAAGAGCGGACGACAAAAGCACGCACACCGCGAAGGAGCCCAAGGTTGCGGCACTCATGGCAGCTCGAGTATTCTTCATGTACATGGCCGTCCATACCTTCCGCCACTTCTGCCCATGCCAGCTATGACTCCAAAACTCACCTATGCGATTGGTGGCGAGGCTTCTTCGAACCCCGGTGCTGCCCAGACGAAGGACTCGGCCAAAGCAACTGAGCGCCTGCCAAGCCCAAACGGCTTGGACGATGCCTGGCCTAACTACCTCCATCCTTGCGATCACCTGGGTTGCAAGTAGGGAGCTCAAACGAAGTTCGAACAGCTATGCAAGGGATGTTGCAAGTAGAAAGCCTAACTTCGTTTAAGCTGCTTAACAACGATCCAGTCACTCCAGCAAGGTGCATTTCCAGAGCTGCTTTGGCACTACGTGTACTATCCATTGACTCCTGGGTCTCCTCCGAGAAACGTGGCTGGGCACTATAGGGGTACCATACAGAACTATAGGGAACTGTAGGGAGCCATAGATAGGGAGCTCTAGGGAACTATAGGGAACTATAGGGTACTATAGGACACGATAGAGCACGATAGGGACCTATAGGGCACCATAGAGGGAATTACTAGGGAACTGACGGGAACTCCTCTGAGAAAGACGGCTGAACTTCAGTCTGGCCATCTTCGGACTGCGGGGTTTCTGGCTCCCTGGCAATGCCAGCAGCGTCGAATTCTCCTGGAACCGAGTGATCCGGATCCATGGCTAGGTGAAACAGTTTAAGCTACACTTGCAAGGGGTCTTCACATGAACCACCTGGGGCGGCCGAAGATGCTGACTGCCCAGTCGCTTGCTTGCTCTGGACGCATGTTGAGAAAAAACTGAATTTGCGTATGTATTTATCGACCTAAATAAATACATAAATAAAAAATATATATATATATATATGTACGTACATATACATCTACATCTACATATACATATACATATACATACACATATACATATACATATATATATATATATAAATATACATATACATGTACATGTACATGTACATGTACATATACATATACATATACATTATATGGGTGCGTTTTCTGCCTTGGGGGGGCCGGATTGTAAGTTAGAGTTTGGCGTATTTTGGTTGGTCGGGGGTTTTGGCTTTTCGGGTGCGGTTGCGCGAGGAAAGCAATTTAAGTCTGCACAGTTCCTCTCTTGTCAAGGATGTGGTCTAGGTTTTGATGCTGCAGCAGTCTGGTACTCTTGCCATGTCCACATGGTTCAGCCGCTGGATTCTAGCTACTTTAGCCCAAGTCGCTGAGGAGGTGAGTCGGCTGCTGCAGGAGGTATTGCTCCTTGTCCCAGCTTCGTGTGCTTCTTGAGACCATGTTTAGGGTTTAGGGTTTAGGGTGACCTGCTTCGTGCAAGAACCGACTTTTGTCAGCTTGGTAAATCACGACGGAAGCCAAGATGGGAGCAGCGGGATGGGGTTTGAGGTTTGCCGCCAAGGCACCCACCTCCTAAACCTACGATCTCCTTTCTGAGGGGGTGTAGTCGGATGGCCCCTCGACCTTCCTGGGACCTTTGGCTGCCTCCCTCTCTTGCCGCCTTCTTTCTCAACGCCCTGCCCACAAGCACGAGCACGGACAACAAGTGCGCCGAAGGTTTTGCACTGCTACTTCTGCAGGCCTTTACAAAGGCAGACAGGGAAAATCAAGGGGTCCTTCAGCCAGCTTTTCCGTCCCCCGAGCTCACTTACGAAGCGGGTTCAAGATTTCGGGCTTACAAGTCGGCTGCTCTCTGGTGTTCTTTTACTCGACCCAGAGCCGCGTACGTGCACCTCCCGTGGCTTGGGCCGGCCCAGCTGCCGAGACGGTGCGCGCAAGCGCGTGCAGTTATTCGCAAACCTAAGTAGAAAAACCTTCCAAACTTAGGGTTACTGCATGCCATCACACACCCTGTACACAACCACTGCAGCCTCGATTCACAAGAGTCGAAGGTGTAGCAGTGTAACAGCCCTCTAAACACCCAGAGGCCAAAACCCTCCAAGCTGCTAATTACACCCTATGCCTGGAACCTCTACACCACCTTTTGCCCAAAAGTTCTTCGCCCTGAAGCAAGTCCGTCCTCAACTTCACGGAGACGCGGGATGATCATGCGGCTCCCAGAGACCATCATGAGCAACCTCGCTTTTTTGGGGCATGACCGTGGGTCTCAGGATGTAGTCAGTGGTTCCCCTATGCCCTCTTCATCCCTGACTTCCCCTAATTGACAATGAGGCTCCTTCCCATACCCCCTACAGTCTTTTGCTTTTGTGCATCATGGCTGCAGGGCACCAGAGAGAGGCCCACTGCTATGCCTCTAGACTCTAGATCCCATAGACATCTACGTGCTGGACTGCTGTAGATATATAAGTCCATGTATTGAAATAGACACCCCCCCCAAACAAAGACCCTAATTTCGGAAAGCTACCACATGCAACCCCAAATAGTGAAACCCTAAACCCTAAACCCTAAACCCTAAACCGGCTGAGGCCCGAAACCCCGCCACGAAGAAGCAGGTGCCAGTGCGCCCTTCACGGCACCGGTCCGCTTCCTGCCATGGGATCCTATACTTACCAAAATATACTACCCATCACATGTAGCTGCCACCTTGAAAGCAGGCCCCCAAAAACCCTTAAAGGAGCACTACTTGGGCGAAAATGCAAAAACTTGCTTGGCGGATTGTTTGTGGTTGGGCCCTGAACCCGAACGCTTAAATGCTAAAATTGTGCACTGCAGGATAGTGGTGGCTGCAGTCCATATACACTTCCAGAGACCCCAAGCTAGCAAGATGCGAAATCCATCTGAGCCTACCAAAACTCCAGATTCAATTAATAATTACTACGACGGCCTTCGGGTCAGCTTGCTGCGAGCCCAGCCTCAGGAGTGGATTTTAGGGTTTAGTGTTTAGGGTTTAGGGCTTGTTGGTGTTTCAGCCATGGTTTCAGGACGATTTTGCTACGCCCTCGGCGAGGGGTTGCTAGATTTTAAGCCACACGTCTCCTTCCCTGGGTTCTGGCCTGTGTACCTTTTGGCCTGAGAATCCCACTGAGTATCCCTGGAGTGCACACTTGGAGGTCCATGCTACTTACTAACCAATTATAACTGTACTTAGAACTGTACTTATAAGCCTTGTAATTATAACCATATTAGGCCACTTAAGGGGCTTAGAAGTGGTAACTGTGCTTATAACCATATTTGGCCGCTTAAGGGGCTTAGAAGTGGGGTTATAAGTACAGCTATAGTGCTATAGTTGGCTAAGAAGTACCATGAACCTCCACGCAGTGCACCCGCAAAGTGTCCCACCGGCCAGGGAGGCCCCGCAGCCGGAGTGACCCTCCCACATTGGTTAGCTTTGGGGTGGGGATGATCCAAGTACATTAATCAAGACTTCTCGCAAAATTAATAATAAACATGAATAAATAACCAAATAACTCAACAAGTATATAGTTGCTGTATTTGTGTCTTTTCTTTGAGCCGGGGGGGGGGGGGGGGGGCTTCAAGGTTTGAGTCGCCGAACCCACGAGTCTGGTAAGACATCCTGAGCCTCAAAGCAAAATATGGGGTCTACGATATTAGGGGTACCTTCTTGGGGTCCTTATTGTAAGGGGATCCTACTAGTTGGGGGTCTATTTTAGGGGAACCCCCCTAGTTTCGTAAACTCCCAAAGCTCTGTGCCCAGTGTCTCCATGTATTTGCAGGCGATGCCGCCGGTGAAGTTGAAATCGGGGTGCAACCTCGGAGAGGCTTTTTTTTGCACGATGCGGGGGTGTCCGAAAAAAGGGGGGCAAATAACAAGGCATAAGCGATCGTATTTACGGGGTATATTCGGGGTACCCCTATTTTGGGAAATGGCCATGTCGGCTTGGGGATAGGAACTCCAGCCCCAAGCAGAGGTAGGGGTGGTCTTGAAGTTGTGAGGAGAAGGGCGGACGGTTGAAGGTGCCCTCTTATCTGAATGCAAAGAGCCTGCCTTGCCTTTGAAAGTGCTGCAATGCCTGCGGAACACCGTCCTCGGGTTTAGGGTTTAGGGTTTGGGGTTTGGGGTTTGGGGTTCAGGGTTGAGGGTTTCAAAACGAACCCTGCGTCCAGCCGCAGCATCTTGATGAAGCCACAGGCAACCACCACGGGCACTGTCGCGAAGGACACGCCCTGGACCTTCAGAGCAAAAGAAGGCAAACCCTAAACCCCAGCAAGTCAGGCACCTTGCTTTCTCTGAAGGGTACGTTCGGTTGAGTTTGGACATTTTCAGGAGCCAGGATCTAGCATGACTTGGTGCTTCTGAGCCTGAACCAAAGGGGAACCCTTTTTCGTTCAAGGGGGGGGGATTCAAGGAATTTGACACCCAAGAAGGGGGCCGGGTAACCTACTGGATCCTACTTGCCGAAGTTAACTGCAGAGAACATTTTATAAGGAGACCACGTGGAGGTAGAGCGCACGTAGTTCACTTCCGCGTTTCCGTGCCGTGCATGGCACATGTGCAACTCAGCTCGATACATTGGACCTGTATGCTGGGCTGGAGGTGAAGCTTCCTGTTCGCTGCAGTTAGACCTTCAAACTTCAACCCTGCCATGTGCTCCGGACCTGCCAGAAAAGGCAAAAACCTTGGGGACCAAATGAACCCTGAAAGGGTTTATGGTTCATATACCTTAAGAGAAGTATAGTAGTACAGGGTACATAGCCCCAAACTCAGGGCTTCAGTTGGTCCTCAAGGAAGACATCTGGCTAGCATGTAGGGTATGATACCTTCTGACTGAGGGGGTACATGGCTTCAGTCAGTAAGGGGACTTGCCCTGCCCAGGCACAGGCCACCAGAACATGAACTCGTAGCCTCAGCGCTCTTGCATCAGGGGTTTAGGGTTTAGGGTTTAGTAGGGTTTAGGGCCCTATGCACCCCGTGAACCCTATAAACCTACACCCGACAAACCCTACGAAACCCTGTTCAACCCTGCAAGCCCGACAAGCCCCATGAAGCCCACCCAACCTGAAGCCATAACTTCTTTGCCGGGTTGGCTTTGAAACCCTTTGAACCCTCATAACAAATAAGGAAGATATTGAAATATACCAAAGACCAACCTCGTCGGTCATACGCTACAAACCCTTTCAAACGCCAGATGCGCCACCGTGTCTGTTCATCCACGGGACTGGCCTTGGGCCTCTCAAAGATGGGAACCCAAACCAGAAAGTCAGGTTTAGGGCTTCGGGATTCATATAAATAAATATGTGTTGTTTGATATACATATATATATATAGACATATATGTGGCGGTTGCTGAAAAAAGGGGACCCCTAATCGACCCACCAAATAGTAAGATTCCCTTGTACCCCTAATATCGGAAGCAATGTGGCTAGGGTCAACATTTACTCACAGGACAAAATGCAAGCAGAGATAAGCCCCAAACAGAAAGCACTACATCTTGGAGACGTGGAGGGCACCCTAAACACTAAAACCCTATAAACCCTAAAACCCTCTAAACCCTCTAAACCCTATAAACCCTACAAACCCTATAAACCCTATAAACCCTATAAACCCTAAACCCTATAAACCCTAAATCCTTGGAGACTTGGGGGGCCAAGGAGGCTCAGGGGTGACATGCCAGCGCTTTTTTCGTATGGGCCAAACTGCTTGAGGAGTCAGGGCGCTCGATGCAATTGCAGGTGGGCTCAAATGGTGGTAGGGTTTAGGGTTTGGGGTTTAGGGTTTGGGTTTTAGGGTTTAG